TTAGTCGATGCCACCAACCTTGCTTAAGTAAACAGCAAAAGCCTTTCCTATGCCTACATCTCCCAGAATGCTGTGCAATTCTGGACTGGAGTTCAGTGAATATTCTTTTGAATATTGTAACATTCTCCTAAAACATCCAGATGTAACGTTTTAGTTGCGTAACTTGGTTGACTCGCTCCAAGCCAGTTGATGGAAACATGCCTAATTCGAGTTCTCTTTTTTCAGCAATATTTCAAAAGTTTCCTCAACATTTCCATTATAATTGGATGGAAAGAAAGCCAATGCTTCTGCTTTTATTGTGGAGGCAACATACAAGGTCTAGCTCAGTAGGAATCAAATGTGTCAGCCAGGAGCAGAGGGAGGAGATTTGGATAATTCTGTGTACAAACTGCTCATGGCCCTGCTTTGTTTTACATTCATGCTCATATGATACCAGATATCCCATCTTGACTCCTGCTTCATGTCTGGTCCTAGCAGTGTATTGGTTAAGTGGCTTATTGAGCTGCTGACAGCAGCAGCCAGGCTGACTTCCAACACACAACTTATTTCAAGTCTTTGATTGCAAGGGTGGCTGCTTTCTGTGAGTGAACAGTGCAGTACAGTGAGCATACTGCACATTACCCAGGATAAACTTTGTCCAAAAAAGCCCATTTAACACTGAATGTAATCTGGTCATCCTTTAGGTAAGTGATCTCTCCACACGTGCAAAAAACTGCAGTAATAAAGTACAGTTCAGCTTCATTCTTTCACCACAGACTATATTTGGCTCTCCATTTTTTATTTGTTTCCATGGTAATGAGCATTGCACCGTGTACAGCTGGAGCCCCGGGTATTTTCCAGAAGTTGAAACGACAGAATGGCTGCCCCTAAAGCCTGAGCAAGCTTTTCCACATCAGTGTGGGTTTGTGAAGTGATCATTTCCACTCCACTGAGTCCAAGAATCACTGTCTGTTAATCACTGGCCTAGTTTTCCCTTCCTGCCAGCCTGTCTTGCCACCGAACACAAGATCCACAGCCACAACATCTGGACAGCGTTTCACTTAAACTGCCAATGATTTCAGGGATGTTGTTTTGCATGACAAATGATCCAGATGGGTTATTGACTTCGGTCATGTAGTGCTGGGAGAAAAATATGGAAGAAAAAAAAAAATTACATATCACAGTCAGAGATTGTGCTAGATGATCATTTTGTGCTGTCATTTTAGCTGACAGCACAAAACCCCCCGTCATATTCCATTTTTACCCGTCAAATTAAAATTGATATCGACATAGGCTATTCAATTGCATTTAATTTTTATGCGGTTTAATTAACATTCAGCAAGCTGCACACAAATCCAGATTCCATCACACATAAAGCAGATGAACACAAACAACTTTTTCTCCGTGGTGACAAACCCCACTAACTGTGGCCTCAATAACTTATAATAAATTAAACGTCTCCACTTAAGTTATGGGCACTTTGCCTGCTGGGGTCTGAACGTCACAACGTCCTCCTGGTTCGCATCTGGAGCAGAAATCAGAACTAGTTCATCAGAACCCCGAGGCTGAATTAAATCCAACATATTACTTTAATCACAATGTTACTACTTTAGTTCACCATTTGAGTAAGCAGTGCGACTTCTCCAGTTTTTAGCTTTTGTTCCTCCTCTTAAGAGATGGGACAATTGGAACGTTTCAAACTCGCTGCAACACAGACGTGATGGAAGATCCAACCAGTGTGTTATAAGCCTGACAGCCCGCCATGCTTTATGCTAGCCCCCTCGCCAGGCCAAACGTTGCTTGTTTTTGTTATTAGAAAAATGAATAATCCAAATAATAACATTTTTATTTTTTTATTAATTTGAACCGGATTGTAAGCGTCTCTGTTGCTCTAGCGGAGCAAATTTATTCCTAAAAGATAAGTTTTTGCATGTAAAGCCGGGAGAGATTTAACTCATCATACAGGGCCGGTCCAAGGCTGTATGAGGCCTTGAACAGAATTTGACTTGGGGGCCCCTCTTGCTGCTAAAGTCATCAGCACCTCTAACAGCTTCTGTGTTAGATTTAGTGAAATCTGGGAGACGGGGAATAGTTTAATTGGCCAACATAAAAAGCAATAAGTTATAATTGCAGTTTATTCATTTGTATTTCTGAACAAATAGAGCTGAAATTCAAAAACTAAACTCACAGCATCAGATTGCAGCTATGGTAACAAAACAATCTACAAAGATTGTTCTTTGAATTTTTACAAAGTAACNTTGCCAGCTCCTTAAAATCTTAGATTTAAAAGTTAAACAATTTAAAATATTTTATTTTATGTATGCTGAAACCATTAAATCAAATTTAGCAGCATTGATATTTCCAATAAACAAATGTTACATTTATATATCTGTGGTCTGTGTTAAAATATTAACATTTAAGGGCCCCTGAAGGCCTGGGGGGGCCGATGGAGCCGCTGACTTAATTTGGATTAAACAGAAGTGCAAATAATTGATATTCATTTTAATTGTATTTTTTTATTTATTATTTTCAGACTAGCTGTGAGTTTAAATCACATTTTACTAGCAAAGTTTTCCTGTTACTTTTTCTGTCTACTTAACATCTTTTAATACAAAAACACGGTAGGCCCCCTCTGCGCCCCGACTACTGGACTGAGCAAGTTTTCTGGGGGAAACCATGTGGCCCACTTGATAGTGTGATTATGCATTCACACCTCATACCAGGCCAACAAACTGGAGTTGGATTAAAACGGACCGAACATGGTTGGTGTGAATGCACCCTAAAAAGCCACAAGTTAGTGCACACTTTTTGCTCTGACATCTAACATTGCTCATCTGTGAAAAAGCTACATGATTCTCCATTTCTCCACAATGAGTCCACCTACAGCAAGTGCGGGAGGTAAAACATCAGCTTTTAGTCATTGTACTGTATCCATTTTACAGAAAAGAATGGAAAACACAAACTATTCTCAGTTCCGACCCAAACCAGGTTTCTAAGACCGCCCAAGATTACTGCAAAAGCAGGTCTGGTGGTTTTGCACAGTTCCTCTAACTTGTCCCCATCAGCTACCATCAGCTCAGCGAGCCAACCATTGGACCACAAGATGGATGGAAACAGCCATGGCAACCAGCACAGATCAGATTTCCCCTCCAAGTTTACTACGAGATGGTTCAGCTCTTCTCAGCCCAACCGCATGAATCAAATATTTTGCTCTTCGTCATGCAGCTGCTAATGGTGGGAGGAAATCCCCTGCTCCTTTGAGACTCTCTGCACACTAAAGCCAGCATGTGCCTACTGAGCCAGTTCCTCTCTGTGTGAGGGTCTGCAGCAGGTATCAGTCAGCAGTGCAACACTCAGACAGCAGGGAGCGCCGGCCCATGCTGCACACCTAATTATCAAGATAAAAAAAGGGAAATGCTGTGAACAGACGCTCGCCGCAAGAGAAACAAACCACTCCACTGTTCTGCCAGCCGCTACCGCTGGCATCTGCGTGAGTCAGACACTATTTGAAGAATGAGTCACACAAAGCTCGACCTGTTGCTGTGGATGAAGGCAGGGGAAGTTTAAAAAAGGAAAAGAAAAGTGAATTTACAGCTGAAGGGAGTGAGCTGTGGTTAGACTGCAGCTGCATTGACTTTCTGCTGCTACAGACATGATGAGGCTGCAGAGGCGTGAGAAAGCCTGTGGCTGCAAAGAGGAAGTTGTTCTGAGGGGTGACGCTGCTAAAACGTCTTCCCGCTGAGACGCGGTGCCTGAGGACTTCTCCTCAGATGCTAGTTTCTTACCCCGGGCAGACAGCTTCTTGGTGTTGATGATTTTGGCAGCATACTCATGTCCCGTGGAAATCTTCATGCACCTCTTGACAACAGAGAAAGCTCCCCTACAGGACACAAAGTGTTGCTGGTCAGAAGTTGTGAGATCAAACATTTGCTGCATGCTCTGAACTCACATGGACAGGCGCTTCCTTGTTTTCTGGAATTCTATGGAAACAAGTTCCTGAAAGATTGCATTTAGCGCTGGTGAATAGCTGATGGGTTAATACTGCATTATAGTAATCCATCACTGACTACATCAGTACAATAAAGTAGCAACCACATGACACAAATTAAAAACCTTTGAGCAAAAAAGGGACTAACAAAAACCTAGAAAACAGGCTAAAACAGAAACAATCAGATCTACTGCGCTGTGGCAGTCCTCAGTTTTATTCCAATCAATTTCAAAATATATTTATTAAAACTAATACTTTTCCCAAAGAAATTAGACAAATAACTGAATAATAATGTGAAGTAGGCTTGAACCGGTTACTATTAGACAGTGGACTCGGCCTGTTTGCGGTTCAGTATTTATGGATTTTGACGATTTTTTTCATATAGCTCATGTCAGATAAATAAAAACACAAAGTTGCAGTGCTACTTGAAACACTATTGGCTGGCATTTTCATAGCGGCCAATACAGGTTTGGCCAATTGGCTGTACCCCAAAGAGTGGCAATAAAAAAAACCAAAAAAAACATGGATATTGGCTTCTGTAGTAGAACCAAAACACTTTACAATTACATACAACATGTTTAAGGAGCTTTCATTATGGCAAATTTTACTCATGTTATATGATTCAAGAAAAATTCTGCATCTTTAAAAGACACACAAACTTAATTATAAGACCAACTTCCATAAACACAGACATGAACTAATCTAATCCCATCCCTGAAAACAATTCAACTTATAAATGTGTGCATATTAAAGTATATTTGGGATTTCATTAAAATATGCAGAAATAATTGTTTTCAAAGGTCTCAAGTATCTGCAGATTTTAGCTATTTGAGGGCAACTATGGTCTCTAACCACCGCGAATACCAGGGGTTCAATATATCACGGAAAATAAGGTTTTACAAAGTTGCAAGCAGCATATGCGTTTAGGGCTGCGCAACATATAATCCAGGGCTGTCGTAAATGAATATTTTAGTAATCAAGTAATCTATTGATTATTCTTACGATTAATAGGGTAATCGGATAAAAAAAGACAAAATAAAACATTGGTAAATCTAACATAACAGCAGTGTTGCCATCAGTCCAATTTTTCACATTTGAACTTCCCTAACAATAACTTTTCTGTAGTTTAGAAAATTAACTTGTAACAATAAAAGCTCACTTTCTAAGTTAAACTGAAGAAAAGATACAAAAATTATGTTGTTGTTCAATGTAATAATAAAGAGAGAGGCTCACAAATACAGTGCACTAAATAATAAAACATAATATAACGAAGCTTCGAGGCAGATCAATTTTCCTTGAGGAATTTTAATAATCAAGGTCCTGGAATCGTTTCAGCCCTAATATAATCACAATATTGGGGTCCATCACACCAGCTGTGTTTAATCTGCAACTCAAGCTTATTTGCCTAAAAAGAGGCAAACACCACCTTTGTTTGAGGAAGTGTGAATGCATAGTCAAACTCTCCTTTTTTCCCTTTATTTAACCATCGAGATCCAGATCTCATTTTCAAGAGGGGCCTGGGCAGAAATCTGCAACTCTGGCCAAAAAAGCAACTTCTGGTCCACCTACAAACCTAAAGTGAACTATGGTTCACCCTGATCTCTGGTGCACTTTGGACCTGTGTGTCCCAAGCCTCCCATAGGCCACCAAGTGGACTATACATCAGGGCATTTTGGGCAAATATAACCAAAAACAAACATGTGGTTGTAGCGTTAGCAGGGGAAATGTTTTGTGGAAGTTGAGGTTTCTAATATGGGTGACATGGGCAAGTGCCCAGGGCCCCCCACCCTCCAAGCCCCATCAACAACTTTGTTGGGGAGTGTCTTAGGTGTTTAAGGGCCACACCCTCATGGTGGGAAGGGTGGTTCACCAAGGCGCCACACAAACCAGGACCACCACTGCTTCAAGCTACAAACACTAAAATCTGATGCCACTCCATTTTTGTTTACATTTCGTGAAGATGGAAGTTGTGCTCGGTGTCTTGTTCAGTTGTCTGCATACTGTCTCCCGTTTTGGCTGGTAAACTACCATATTTTATCCCTTGTCCTGCCCTCTTCCATGATTACAATTTTTCCGTAAATTTTACAGTATAATAATACCCATCCATCCATTTTCTGTACACCCTTGTCCCTAGTGGGGTGCCTATCTCCAGCGAACCTTCTGGGCAAGAGGCAGGGTACACCCTGGTTGCCAGTCCATCGCAGGGCAACACAGAGACAGGACAAACTGTCACACACACCTAGGGAAACTTTAGAGATTGACTTGACAGTCATGTTTTTGGACTGTGGGAGGAAGCCGGAGTACCCGGAGAAAACCCACCATGTACAGGGAGAACATGCAAACTCCATGCAGAAAGACTGGGGCCGGGAATCAAACCCAGAACCTTCTTGCTGCAAGGCAACAGCTCTACCAACTATAATAATATAATAATTTCAAATAAGAATTTCTGGACCTCTCTAAACTGAATTAAGTCTCTAGCCTCGCAAGCCTGCAGCAGTTTGGGAGGCAGTTCTGCCAAGGTTAGTGCAACAGCGAGATAAAATAGCATACAAAAGTGTTTTTTAGTTGCACTTTGTGAGTTAAACTTTCAAACTTCTATCCATGCAAGCTGTTCATATATTAATTTTCATCGTGAATTCCAAACCTACTGAATCGCAATCCTGAAGACAAAGCGAAACAATAAGCAGTTCCTTAGAAAGTGACCTCTCACCCCAGGCAACAGGAGCGTCTGATGCAAAGGGCAGAGACTGGAGAACCACGCCCTCCTGGAGCGACCAGCAGCTCCAGTTCTGTCCTGATTCAAACACCTGAGTGGCCGCAATCAGGTCAGCTCAACCCGTTCACAGCTCTAACGTGTTCACGTTCCAGAATCGGAACAGAAACGTCAGATTCAAAAGTCCTCCTTTGATTACGTGAACTAGAATAAAGCCGAGTTAGGAGTGTCCCCAACACCTTAAGAGACTCTAAACCGAGATTTAGCGAGGCGTCCTGCTTCCATAGGTGGACTCCGGTAGAACATTGTACTGTACCACCAAAATAATGAACAGAACTTACTTTCCCAGCTCCTCGTACAGTTGGTACTCATCAGTGAACCTGGTGCAGGTGGTTGAAGCCATGTTCAAGTGAGCGGGGAAACTGAAAGCTGTCCTAATACTCTGGGAGACTTTCCCCTCCGTGTCCTATATGTCACCTGGTCCTATTTCGGAACCGCCGCCGCCAAAGAAAAGACAAGAAATACAATTAGGCTGAAGAGTTGCGGCGCAATCTCTACTCCCAGCTCCAGGTTCGTGAACCCCCCGGCTCTCACAGGGAAGAAGCGACCTGCTGTTGTGGCTATTTCTGCGCTGATACTTTGGATCCGTTCAACACAGTCAAGACTCACACACACACACACCTCCCCATATCCGGTACTGACCCAGCAAAATAAAAGCACACAAGAAAGAACATGATACTAAGAGCTGCAGTAGGACCAGGCCCGGCGGCATGGGCGGGCATTGGGGACATTGCCCCCCCCCCCACAGAATCAGCCATGCACCGCCCCCCCTCACCCCCCCGCCTGGACTGGAAGCTGTTTGTTGTTTTTGCCTTAGAATGGCCAACTCTCTGTTATTCCTGTGTCCATTTGATACACTAGAATCACGGCAGCAAACCAGCAAAACGCAAAGAACTTTGCACAATTTTTCCTCCAAACTAACCAACTGAGTTGAGTGAAGCTGTTGGATGCAGGTGATGTTAGGTAAAGATGACTAGCTAATATCAATACAGAACCTTAAGCTTGTTAACAAGTAGCCTGTAGGCTACTGATGTTGTCTGTGTTCAGCTACGTAGATTCATTTTGCCCCCCTGCTAAACTCATCTGGAGCTGGAGCTGACCAGCATTGGAATCATTTTTAGTTAATTTTACTGTAGATTCAGTTGACTGTAATGTGTTTCACAGAGGAACAACGCTTTACGTCTCATTACCTGACAGGCATAGATATGGGTTTTCTTGGTTTTTTAAACAGAGAAAAAAACGCTATACTCAATAGTTATACCTCAATATAACTATTGAGGTATATTTTAGAAAGACAGTTACTAATTACACATTGTTCTGAAATAAATATAAAAACTATTCCATTTGACCTTTACATAATTCTGGTCTTAAGAGAGTTTATCAAAAATCATATCTTCACTAAGCATTGGCCCCCCAGAAAGGGGTGACCAGGCCAGGAAGTGTCCTGACCTCGGTCTTAACATGTTATGGTCCTAAGATCACTTTGATCTTATCAATCAAATTTTTTTGTAGCATATTTCAGCAGCAAGGCAGTTCAAAGTGTTTTACATCATAAAAACACAAACGTAGAAAGTTAAAGAACACACAGTCAGCAATTTACACATTATATTTTGTCAAGTTCCACCATTACATGTGAGAATGTTGATTAATGTTTAATTGATTATGTTTCAAAAGCAACTTTTAGTCTAGATTAAAAGGTACTCAGTGTTTCAACTGTTTTGCAGTTTTCTGGAAGTTTGTTCCAGATTTGTGGTGCATAGAAGCTGAATGCTGCTTCTCCTTGTTTGGTTCTGGTTCTGGGGATTCAGATCAGACCAGAACCAGAAGATCTGAGAGGTCTGGAAGGTTGGTACAACATCAGCAGATCTTTAATGTATTGTGGTGATTTATAAATTAGTAACAGTATTTTAAAGTTTATTCTCTGAGCTACAAGGAGTCAGTGGAAGGACTTTAGACCTGGGTGATGTGATCTTCCTGGTTTTAGTGAGAACGCCAGCAGTAGTGTACTCTTAGGGGGGCCCCTGGTGATCGCGATAGGTCACGCACACTTCACGGGTAAAATGAACTGCCTTGCAGTGTGCAGAGTGCATCCAAACGTCCAAAGCTCTGGTAGAAGATAAGCAAGCAGAACAATGTCTCAAAAAAGGGCTTATCCTTTAGGGAGAGAGGAAAGAAAGAGGATGAA